TCTACAGAAATAAGTTTCTAGTAAAGATCTATTTACATATAAAATTGCAACTTTTTATCTTCAAGGGTGTAGAAGTTTTGTAAAAAGACACACGGACAGACGGACGGACGGACGGACAGAGTGAAACTAATAAGCAATTTTTTCAAAAATTTTTTGGAAAAGTGCTAATAAAAACAAAGTAAAACGTTAAGAATATTGATTTGGTTTTATAACTATATAAATTGATTTACAACTTGAATAGCTTTGTATTTTACCATTTTCGAGTTTAAGATATTTTGATAATTGAGTTGAAGATTGAATTTTAAAATTTTTAAGAAGAACGTCTGTTATGTTTAGTGTTTTTAACTTTTAAAACCGTTATTATTAATATTTTTTGTTTAATATAAGCGTTTAAGTAATATTTAAGTTAAGAGGAGTTACTTTTGAACGAGAACTTATATAATTTTTTTAGAGTTCGTATTGCAAATATTTCTCATATGTTATTTAAGTTATTGTGAACGATTTCCTAATTGCTTTTTGATGTACGAGTAGTATAGATTGCAATACTTTTTATTTTGAAGCATTTTGTGTAATAATTAAATTTAAGCCCAATTAAATTGAGTTGACATGGTTTACTCTTACAAGCTTTAAAAATTGATAAATCGGTTTAGTCAAAAGAAAAAAGATGGGAAAGAAAAAATGACGCCGAATATAAATAATTTATGAGTCTACGAATCACAAATTATCTAGGGTAAAAAAATTTCTTCTGTAGTTGACAATCAAAATGAAAGGGTACTGTACCGGTTTTGTTTAGTATAATGAAGGATGTGATTCTTAGTCTGTTTAATATTTGTGGATCTTTTATAAATTAAATTTGTCATAGGAAATGCTTCGTGTCATAAATCCAATTTTGGAAAAAATTGGTGGCGTATTCGTTTTTACTACCGAAATGGGCTCTTCATTCTTAGCATGTTGCTAAATGACCTCTGCCATTTTAATTAAAAATTATTTTTGGCACCTTTGTTTCCTGCAATAGTTTTAAATGTAACTTTTTTGGTTATCTGACTTCATCAATTTTCGGTACCACATTTTACTTATTTGATTTAATCAGTCGGCTTTACGATGCTGTAATAATAAGAATAATAATATTAATATTTTACTAATATCTATTGACTTCACATCCTACTTGGTCTAAAATTAAAACAGGGTGAAAAATCTTTTGTGCAGGCTTAAAAATTACTTTTCATTATTTATGAATTTATGACGGTTCATAGCTAAAATTAACAACCCAAGTTTTTGAATGTCAACTTATATAACAAAGAGTTAATTACTAAAATTTAATAAAGCAACTCTAAATGTACAAATGCTTGAATACTTTTCCATCTTATTTGTATAATAATAATGAAGGCAAAAGTGTTTGACCAAAAAACTTTTAGGATTCAGAATTTATGGTTAATTTTATAAATGAAATTTGAAATTGTTTTTCAAATACAAAAGAAAGGTTAAACCATAATTAAACTTTACTTTTTATTTTACCTTTTAAAACCATATTAATTACGTGTCTGAAAGCGAATCATACCGCGAAACATAAAATATCGCAAAACCTACACGTTTTTCTTATACAAAAAATATTTTTTTTTTTATTTAAATTCTAAAAGCATATTCTAATCTAAATTAATCTTAGCATTTTATTTTGAACATCACCTTCCATTTTGGGCTCCTTTTAGTATTTGTTTTTTCTCATTTTTTTGTTTTTCGTTTATTTTTTTAACAAATCTTTTAAAAATGAAAGGAGATCAACTTTTCATTTAAAATTTTGAAAAGACAACATCAATTTAGTTTTTAAGACAATCTTTTAATGTCATTTTTATTTTTTTTTTTGTGTATATTTTCATGTATAGTAATTTAAATTTTATTTTCATAAAATATAATAAAAATCCCAAATTAGTGGTACCACGTTATTGACTTACCATTAAATTATGTAAAATAAAAAAAAAATTAGCGAAATTTAAATCTCACATGCGTTTGAAGAACACGCACTGTGCTAAAGCAAGTGAGGTTTCGAACAAATAAAACAAATTTTAAAATTCTTTTTTATATTATAATTTTTTCTAAAATACCATTAATTAAGGTCCTTGACATTATAAATAATAAATACATAAAACAAAAAGAAGGAAAAAAACAGGACCCGAAAATAAGAAACTCTAAGGTATAATTAAAGCAAATCTTAGTGAAAAAGACACGACAGCATTTTTTATTTAAAGAATTTTTTGAAGAAATTTGAGAGATTTTTGATGCAAAGCATGCAAAATTTTAATCTCACAGCCTTTTTAATATAATTATGTTTATTGAATTTTTATAAAGAAAATTTTGCTCATTATAGCGGTCTTATAATTTATAAATTTTTGTTTCTCCTGTGATTTTTTTTTTGAAAATTGTAGGGCTAAACATACGTACACTTGTTGCTAGTACCGAAATTTTATTTGAGAATTCATAAACAAGTGATTAATATAATCTAAAGAGTTTTGTACTGAATACTGCGACTCAATGCAGTTTTTGACTAGAAAAGCCAATCATTTATATTGAAACAAGTCAAACCACAAGCATCAATTTTGTATAAATAAAAATTGTTAATAATATAAATTTGTAATTAAATTGAAGGTCAAATATTAATTAATAAGTTTGTTTTAACCCTTAAACACTCATTGTTTCATAAATGGGACGCAAGTATAGAAGGCTTCTAAACGAAGTAATTGTTGGCAGCAAATTGTTTTTGCTTGACTCCGGGTTGAACTAATATTTATGTTAATTGTTATACAGAAATATGGAGGCTAGATTTTAAAAATTTGTATACTTGGTGATTTCAACATAATTTGATTGATAAATAATGTTCAGAAACTTCTACGCGTAATTTTACATATGCACTGACAAATAGTAGCAGGATTTTCAAGCAAAATAGATACTACAACTGAGATTAGTTCCATGGAAGCTACTTTCATGGGCCCCTGAAACGCAGTAATAATTTCAAATGTATTTTTTAAACTCTTAAGGAATAATTAAATCATACTTTAATTTTTCAATTTTAGACTCAATATAATTTTTAATTTTCAGCACTACGTACAAAAGCAAAAAGTATTAACAGAAAATTTACATAATTGACGAAATTTTTATCAATTTCAAATTGGAAATTCTTTCAAAAGAAATATGAAATCAAAAATATTTTATCTACATTTTATCTTAATCTTTAAGCTTCTAAGTACAACCAAATACACTCGTGCAATTAAAGATAGAAATTTTTTTTTGCTGATCTATTGAAAAACAATATTCGAAATATACAAACATTTTTCTTACCTTTGTTTTAACATTTTATCTATTTTTCAAAAAATTATGACTACCAAACTTCTAAAATTAACAAACAGGAAAAAAAATATATACAATAACAATTAAAAGGAGAAAAAAAAAGATTACGAAAATATTAAGAAAAGTTGTTGACCGCAACACATTACAAGCAGAAAACAAGCAAGAAAAAAACTCTGAACGATAACAACATTAAGAACAAGAAAAAACAAAATATGCGAAAAAGTTAAATGAGTAAGAAAAGAAAGAAAAAAACTAAAACAAAAAAGCAGCAATAAAGTACGAAGAAAAAAATAGACAACTTCTCGAATGAAAAGTGAAGTGAACAACCAACAAAAATCACCACTAACAAAACTATTACATTTGCAAAACACGAAATTGTACAAGACAAACTAAAATGCCAAAAATGCCAAAAAAAGACTTAGAGAAAAAAAATTTAATTTTAATTTTTTTGTTTTAAAAACTTGAAAATGTTTTTTTCAAGTTCATCGCTTAAGTCTTTTGAATTTCTAAGAAAAAAAAATTATTTTTCTTCTTTCTATACTCTTCTAACACATCTAACAAAATATTCTTCAACTAACGTCGCCATAATGCTGGTTACAAAATTTTTGAATTGTTTGCAAAAAATATAAAGAAAACTAAACTCTCATTGTTTTTTCCTAAAATCTCGTTCTCTCACTATTTTTCATCTAAATCTCTCTAACTCTAAAAAACCATTCAACGGATTTTTATTTCATTTCTGAGAAATTTTTATTTTTCTTTTTCTCCAGAAAGCATAAAAAAAGTTTCTAATAAGAAAAATAATCAACAATTTTCCAATAGTGCAATAAATACTAAAAATTTTGCCAAAGGAATTTTCAACAATGTTCAACTTTGATATTATGTGCATTGGAATGAAATGACGTCATTTTGAATTATTAATAAACCACGTGTATAAATTTTTTGTTGTTAATATTATACAAAACTTAACAGATATACCGGCTCAGTACAGCACAGCACATCATATGATTTAAACGTAAACAAAAATTTGCTTTTCCAGTATTAATCCAATAAAAGTTTTTTTTTTTAATTCCAATTGGATTGGAAGGTGCCTTTTCAAAGAAATTGTATGAGATTTCTTCAACAATAACATAAAAATTATTTTCTTTCTCTTCTTCTCTCTTTCTTATTATTCCCATATAAAATAAATTTATATTGTGAGAGATTTTAAAGGAAAACTGTTTTGTTTTTATTCTTATTTATTACTTCGTTTAACTGAGTAAGAAGAAGATCTATCTGCTTTGTTTTTATGGATACAAGAAAATTCCAGTTAAATGCTAAAATGTTGGTTATAATATGAGAATCTTGTTAAAAACGGTAAAAAGAGAGAATGAGAAACCAAATGAATTCAAATTGATTTGAGAAATATTTCGAGAAATGAAAAGAGTTAAAAAATTAGGAATTTTTTGTTTTTTTTTTTTTCTGATGTTTCTGTCTTTTGTTTTATTACTGGTATTAGAAGATTTTAGAGTTAAGAAGCAAATTCAGCTATGGCAAATGAATGGTAAATTATGTTTTTTTTTTGTTTTGGCTGAGTAAAATTTTTTTAGTATCTTATAAGAAAGATTTTTGTAGGAAAATTAAAATTTGGTTTTCTTTTAACATTAGCAGAGTATCGTGGTATTTTGACGTGTAAGGATGTTCCGCTACACGTCGCGGATATAAAAAGAAAGAAAGAATTTTTTTTCTTCTAAATTGTTTTTTTTTTTCATTGTGTTGAAATAGTGAGAGAGGAGAAGAGAAGAGAAATATACAAAAAACAAAAAAAAGATTCAATTTGATTTTGAAAAATAATTTTTTTTTCGTATAACAAAAGTTATAAGAGTTGAAAAGTAACTCTGAGAAACGGAAAAATTTCATACTTCAAAAGCTTTCAAACAACATCATAGTTTTGAAGTTTAAACTGTTGCGATTTTTATACTGTTATTATAATTTTTTTTTTTATTTATTTTATTTATTCTTGTTTTTTTTGTTTCTGCTGTTTCATCGAATCATTAGCAAACAATTTGGATTTCTTATGTTGGTGTATTTTAAGTTTTTCGTTTTTTGTAAGTAGGAAAAGCTTTTTCAAGTGACTTGTGCAAAAATATCATAAAGTGAAGCTAAAGTGAAGCTGCAATATTGAAAAAAAAAAAAATATTTTCTCAATAATATTTTTAAAAAATTTTCAGTCATTCTTTAGACTTCGAGTGAAGCACAAGTGCTCGGGGAATACAGTGCCGTATTAAAAAAGAAAAGAATAAAAAAAAATTAATAATTTAAATTAAAAGAAATAAAAAAAAATCAATTACATAATATTTATTGCATACACCATAAATGTTATAAAAAAAAAACAAAAAAAAAAAAAGACTCGCGTATTATTTTATATGGTTTTCTTTATAATTTTTAATTAAAAAAAAATTATTTAAAAAAGAAAATAAGAAATAAAGAATTTTATTAAAAATATTTAAAATATCGTGAAAGATTTTGAATTTTATGAAAGAATAAAAATAATTTGAAGAAAAGAAACAAAAATTATCAAATTAATTATTTTAAAAAATAAAAGAAAAACACTGTGGCGTTTAGGCCATGGTGAATGGTGAGTGTTTTATAATCATTATCCTTATTTTTGCTTTAATAACGCTTTTTTTTTTTGTCTAATTTTTACGTCTTCGAATTTCATTTATTTTTAATTATTTAATTAAATTTTTTTTTATTACTATGGAAAATGGATAATATTATAAAACGATTATGGATTAATAAATAAATAAAATAAAATTTTAATTTTAATAAAATAACCGAAAAATACAAAATATAAAATGAAAATTTAAAACAATTGACAAAAAAAAAAAAAATTTTAATTAAATGTGATTAATAATGATCATAGAATAATTATGCATAATTTTTTTTTTTAAATAAAATCGCTAAAATTAAAAATTTCTTAAAATAATTAAAGCGATAAAAAGAAAAAGTGCTTCATAACTTGCTTGGATTAATTAATTAATAATTAATTAATTAATTAATTTTATTTTTTTTTTTAAATATGCTTGAAAAAATTATAAACGCCTCTACTAACCTGAAATTAAAAAAAAATTAAGAAAAAACAAAATTTAAAACAAAAATTATCACAAATTAATTGCTAAAAATCACAAAATTAAAAAAAAAAAAAATTAAAATTAAAAAAAATTTTTTTTAAGTGAATTTTATTTTTAAAAAATAAGAGAAAAAATAAAATAAACTAGTAATTTTCTTTTTTATTTTTAATTTTTTTTTTAATCCTTTTTCACTATTAAAATTTGAATTTTATAAAAATATTTTTTAAATATGCAAATAATTGGAGTTATAAGGGAAAATTTTAGAAAATTCATTCCAATTTTTGCAGTGAAGAATTTTTTACATCTTTAGAGTTGATGCTTTCTAGAATAATTCTAGATTTTTCAGGATCCTAAGAAATTTTGAAAGAAATATAAAAGACGTTTATTTAAATGTGTTGAATGGTTTGAAAATTTCAGATTGCTCCTGCGTCTTCTTAATTCTTTTTTTGAGCTAGATCTCTGGATATTGTGCCATTATGGTCACATTTTAATAAAAATTTTTTCATTATTAATTTTTTTTTATATTTGAAGATGGTATTTTAAAATTTTCCCTCTTTAACATTTTTAAAAAATTTATTCTTCACTGAAAAATAAAAATTATTTCAATTTTTAAAAATGGGTTTTTTTATTTAGGAATTATTAGAAAAATTTTTTAAATATTTTTAGACCAAATTTTTTTTAAGTTTTATATTACAACTAGAATTTAAAAAAATAAGAAAAATATTTTATTGCGTCTACATTAAAATAAAAAAAACAAATCGGGAGTGTTTTTAAATTTTTTTTTTTTCGTTTAACTTTGTAATTTTAATAACAAGTTGTGATTGCTAGGAGCTATTTTTTAATTTTAAACATTAAAATAAACTTCACCTCTTTGTAGCCTTTAAAAAGATATAAAAAAAAGTATAAAATAAAAAAATTAAAGAATGCATAAACAAATAAAATTCAGAATTATTCTAAAAATAGAATAGACTTGTTACGCCCATAGAATAATAAGAAAAATTACAAAGGATATAGAGTATATTGAAAAAGGATTAAAAATAGTATTAAAAATAATAAGAACAAAAAAAAACTGGTAAATTATTGTGAAAAAAAATTCTTGATTTTTATCAAAAAATATTTTTGCATTTTTTTTTTCTCTCTCTCAATTTTTTAAATCGTGATTCTCATACTACGAATTTTTTTGTTTTTTTTTTTCATAAAAATAAATTTAAAGAAATAATTTATTTAAATAAAAAATCGTGCTTTTCAATATAAAAATAAAAGTGATTAAAATTTATATTTGAAAATTATCTAAAAAATTTAAAGTGAATTTTTTTTGCTTTAGAAATTAAAACAAGAAAATTATAAAAATATTTTTAATTTTTTTTTCAATGTTTTCTCACACAAATGTGAAAAGTGAAATGAAATGTTAAAAATTTTTCATCATTCAAAATATTCAAGCGAAATTTTTAAAGAAAAAATTTCGTCTGAATTTCTTCAATTATTACAGGCACTCAATGTGGAATATTTTCTTTTGAATTTCATATTAAAATGGAGTCAAATGGATTATTTATTTTGCTATTTTTGAATTTATAAATATTTTAATTATTATTAAGAAATTTATTTGAAATTTTTAATTTACAATTTATAGCACACATTTGAGTTTTCGGATTTTTGTGTATTTAAATATCTAAGCAAATCTTAAACTATAATTCCCTTATAAAATCACCTTCAAGTAAATTATTGAATAATTTTCAATTTAAGCTTCTTGTTAGTTGTTAACAGAAATTATGAACGAATGAATTATCAAAGCAAAATCAATTAAAACTAAATTCACGTGAATTGGGAGCAGGAAATTTGAAACATAAAATTTTCGAATTAATATTTCTGCTAAAAATTTTCATGTTGTTATTTCTAGAAAAAAAAATAATAAGATTTTAAATCGCATTAGTAGAAAATTTTGAAGTTTTGAATTTTGAAGAAAAAAAAATTTGAATCAAAAAATTTGTATTTTGTTTCAAAAATTTTGTATTTCAAATATTTCGATTGAAATTTAAACCTAACTTTTTTTCCAAATAAAATTTGAAGTTGAGTAATATTGATGAATGTATCTTCTACTGCAAAAATTTTAATTAAGAATGTTGCATAAATTTATTTTCATTTTGAGAGTTATTACAAAGTATTTCAATCGACCAGTTATCAATTTCTTGTTAGCTTTTCTTTTCTCAAAATTATTAATAAAGTTATTAAATTGAATTCTATGATAGATTTGAATACATCTACTTGCGATATAATACGGTCTCAATTAATTTTTAAAAAAATTTACCTTAATACATACCTGTACTTTTATAAGCTTAAGTAATAAGCCTGTTAGTATAATTTGTTCTTTAAAACAAATTCATCTTTAAATAAACACAATTAAATCCTTAATTAAAATATCGTTAAATAGGTTTGTGAATTTAATAAAACTGGGATTAAAATATCGTGTAAGCAGTTCTATATAAGTAGATATTTATAATATTATTATTACAATATAGAGTTTTAAGGTTTCTCACTTGAATCTTTCATATATTTAAAAGAAGAAGCTAAGAAAATAAGGATTAAAAATATATAATCAGAAATTAGCTAGGAACAGGTCATAGTTTAATTCTTTTTTTTTTTTCCTCCTAAACTCTTAAATTAATTGTAGCTTTATAAAAACATCATTTCGTAAAAGCAGAAAAAACAAGAGGTAATTGATTTTTGTCAGACATTATAGAAGAACAAACTGCAACATGAATTTTTTATTCTAAATTTTTTTTTTCTATTTTGATTCTTTTTTTAATGTTTACTTGAAGCCGACCTTGCAAAACAATCTAATAAAACTAAAGTGCAATAATAAAAGATTTTGTTTTTCATACGCTCGTTCACTCTCTACTTAGTTATCATGAATTCCTTTTACTATGTCACAGCTACTACTTATTTAACTACCATATAGATACCATTTCATATTAAATGAACCAATAAGTGCATAAAATTAAAAATAAACCGCAGAATAAGAACTAAAACAAATAAAATGTAAAAATTTTCAGAAAAAAAAGGCACAAAACCAAATTAACAGAGAAAAAAACACCAATTTTTTGCTTGAAATTCTTCTTATACGAGTATAATTTACAGCCTTAATTTAATGTTCTTTACTTGAATAAAACAAATTTCATTATATTTATTTTACGATTGGTTTTACAAACATTTATTGGTAATATACAATGGTTGTTATTCTGTTTTTTGTTTATTACCTGCCCATTTCATACTTCCACCTTCCTTTCACCTCGTGTTTTCGGAAATTGATTTATATGAGTTTAACATTCAAATTAAGTAAAACAAAATTAAAATATTTGCGTACCCTGCGAAAAAAAGCAACATTGTTTGCATGTTAAACTTGCAAAAAAAAGGTATTCAAATAAAAAATAATATAATTGAAAAATAAATTTGTTCAAATTGTTTTTTATTAAGAGGTTGTACTGTACGATAAAATAAGAGAGTAATTCGTATTGTAATTACAGAATAGCTTAGAAGTAAGACGAAATTTAAATTAAACATTAACATTTTTAGTTAAAATGTGTCAACTTAAAATATTTTTTAATATTCGACATCCTTGACTGATTCAAGTATTAAGTATTCTAGTTAATTCCTGTATGAATAAGTACAATTTTCATATGGGTACCTTAGTTAAGTTCGTTAAAAACTTCCGTCTGAATCAGAAATTTTTGTGAATTTAGACATTAAGTTATAGTTAATAGCACTAAATTTCTTTAAAAATCTGAATTCTTGCTTTCAGTCACAATAAAATTTCTAATTTTTTTAGAATTAATCGCAATAGAATTTGATTAATAGTTAATTTCCAAGAAAAGGATCTGTTAAGAATACCGACGGTTCTTATTTCTAACTGAGTTTCATTTGCTCAGAGTTCATTTGAATTTTGTGTTGTTTTTTCCTTTGAAAAATTCCATTATGGCCGCAAAAAAATCTTCAATTCAATTACTTTTTTAGTAAAAATTTTTGTGCCAATTACTTAATTATTTTTAAGAAAAATCCTAAATAAATTAAGAGTAAAAAATTTTTCTACTCATAGCATTCTACATAATTAAGTAAATATTGAAAATCACTCATTATATAGACGGACAACAAAAGCTTTATGAAAGAACATTGTAAAAAATACTTTTCAACTTGAACAACAAAAAAGGAAAAGAACAAATTTAAAACTTGTAATGCTTTACAGCAGAACAAATTTTACTTAATTACGAAATGAAAATCTTAAGGGTGCAGTTCCTTTTATAACAATTTATGCCTTTTAATCATAAATGGTTAAAGCTGAAACTAAACGAACATTAATGTTAATGTATTATACTAATTTTGAGAACGTTCCCCGTTAACCTACATGAAATTAATATGATTCATTTACGTAATGTCAAATTGATTGTGTTGCAAATGTCTATCTATGTATTTAGCATGCAAATTCAAAAACAAAAATCTCAATTTAGTAAAC